AAAGCTCAACCGAGAAGAGTCAGAAAATCTGACCAGATAAAAACAATCAAGGAAATAGAAATAGTAATCAATAAATTCCCAGCAAACAAAAGCCTTGGTCCGCACAGCTTCACAGGAGAGTTTTAGCAAACATTCAAGTAGAACTAACACCCATTCTCCTCAAAATATTGTAAAAAATTCAAGAGGAAGACTTTCAAGTTCTTTTTATGAAGCCAACATAATCCTAACCCCAAAATCAGATAAAGATACTAAAAAGGCCAATATTACTGATGAACATAGAACCCAAAATCCTCAACAAAGTCTTAGCAAATAGGATCAAGCAATATGGTAAAAAAAATTATACACCACAGCCCTGGGATAGAAGGCTGATACACTATTCATAAATGTGATATACCACAAAAACAAAATTAAAAATAAAAATCATTTGATCATATCAATAGATGCTGAAAAAGCATTTAACAAAATCCAGCGCCCATTCTGTATAAAAACTCTCAACAAAGTAGGAATAGAAGGATCATACCTCAACATAATAAAAGTCATATATGACAAACCTACAGCCTACTTCATACAAAATGGGCAAAAACTAAAAGCATTTTCCTTAAGAACAGTAACATGACAGGGATTGCCACTTTCATCACTGTTATTCAACATAATACTGGAAGTCCAAGCCACAGCAATCAGATAAGAAGAAAAAATAAAAGGCATCCAAATTGGAAAAGAGGAAGTAAAACTGTCATTATTTGCAGATGACATAATATTGTATATAGCAAACCCTAAAGACTCCATCTAAAAACTACTAGATTTAATAAATGAATTCAGCAAAGTAGAAAAATACAAAATCAACATGCAGAAATCATTGAAATTTTTGTACACCAATAATGAACACACATAAAGAGAAACTAAAAAAACAATCCCACTTACCATTGTGGCACAAAAATTAAGATACCTAGGAATAAACCTAACCAAAGAAGTAAAGGACCTGTTTGCAGAAAACTAAAGTACATTTGAAAAAAAAGAAATGGCCCTGACCAGTTTGGCTCAGCGGTGAGCGCATTGGCCTGTGGTCCAGAGAGACCCAGGTTCGGTTCCCACTAAGGGCGCATACCTCGGTTGCAGTGTGTCCCCGGCCCTGGTTAGTCATGTGGGTGGCAGCCACTCGATGTGTCCCTTTCACGTCGATGTTTCTCTCTCTCTCTCTCTCTCTCTCTCTCTCTCTCTCTCTCTCTCTCTCTTTCTTCTTCTTCTCTCTCCCTCCCACTGTATCTGAACAAAAAAAAAAGGAAAAATGTCCTTGGGTGAGGATTAAAAAAAAAAAAAAAAGAAAGAAATGGAGAAAGATATAAAAGAGTGAAATCATATACCTTGTTCATGAATTGGAAGAAATAATAACATCATTAAAATATCCATACTACCCACAACAATCTACAGATACAGTGCAATCCTTATTAAAATACCAAAGACATATTTCACAAAATGAGAACAAATACTCCAAAAGTTTGTATGGAACCAAAAAATAATCCTGAATAGCCACAGAAATTTCGAAAAAGTAGGACAAAGTAGAAGGGATCACAATACCAGATATCAGGTTATACTACTACAAAGCCACTGTAATCAAAACAGCCTGGTACTGGCACAAGAACGGACATATAGATCAATGGAACAGAACAGAGAACCCAGAAATTGACTGAAGATATTAAACTTAACTAATATTTGACAAAGGTGGCAAGAGAGTAAAGACAGCCTCTTTAATAAATGGTGTTGGGAAAATTAGACAGCTAAATGCAAAAAAAAAAACCAAAACAACAAAACAAAACTAGACCACCAACTTACACCATACACAGGAATAAACTCAAAATGTACAAAAAGCTTAAATGTGACTCATGAATTCATAAAAGTCCTAGAAGAAGATGTAGACAATAAAATAGACATGACACACAGCAGAATTTTCACTGATATATTACCTAGGGCAAGAGAAACAGAGAAAAAATTAATAAATGGGACTACATCATACTAAAAAGCTTCTGCACAGCAAAAAAAAAAAAAGCATCACAATGGAAAGGAAACCCACGTACGGAAGAACATAATTGCCAATGATACATCAGATAAGTGGTTAATTCCGCAAAATACATAAAGCACTCATACAAATCAACAAAAGGAAGACAAAGAATTCAATTAAAAAATGGGCAGAGGACCTAAAGAGACACCTCTCCAAGCAAGACATACAAATGGCCAAGAGACATATGAAAAATGTTCAACATCACTAATCATCAGTGAGATGCAAATTAAAACAACAATGAGGTATAACCTCACACCTGTCAGAATGATCATCAACAAATCATCAAACAAGTGTTGGCAAGTGTGTGGAGAAAATGGGACTCCAGTACACTGCTGGTGGGAATGCAGACTGGTGCATCCACTATGGAAAACAATATGGTGTTTCCTCAAAAAATTAAAAATTGAACAGCCTTTTGACCCACTTCTAGGCATATATCGTAAGAAGCCTGAAACACCAATCAGAAAGAATATATGTGCCCCTATGTTCATAGCAACACTATTTACAGTAGCTAATATCTGGAAGTAGCTCAAGTATCCATCAATAGATGAGTGGATAAAAAATAAATAAAAAAAACTGTGGTGTATTTACACAATGGAATATTATGCAGGTGTAAGAAAGAAAGACCTCTTGTCCTTTGCGACGACATGGAGAGACCTGGAGAGTATTATGGATCAAAATAAGGCAATCAGACAAACAAATATTACATAATCTCTCTTATTTGGGGAATATAATGAACAAAATAAGCTGATGAATAAAATAGACCTAGAGACATGGAATTAGGAATCAGACTGACAAACCTGAGGACGGGGTGGTGGGAAGGTGGAAACAGATAAACCAAAGAACATATATGCATAACCAATGGATATAGACAATAATACTGTGAAGTTGGGGTGGGACGGGACTGGGGGAGGAGGGTGTCAATGGTGGAAAAAGGAGAAACATCTGTAACAAAAATAAATGAATTAATTTTTTTAAAAGTAAATGATAAATGCTGCTATTAAATGGGGCCATATTCCATGGACATTCCATGTAAACATAAAATTAAGTATTATGGTCTGAGAAGCTATGTTAGATGTTTCAGCTTCCACTTTGAATATTATATATGATACAAAACTTAGAGTGATCTGTAAGAGAATATGAAAAGACAATAGTATATTCAGGGAACACTCAATAGGAGATGAAAGTCTAAGGAATGTGATGATAGCAGGTACTGACTGGGTTGAAACAAATGTTTAACTCAGTACTGTCAGTTATTGGGTGGCCTGATGGCAGGCTCTGCCGATCCCCCAATATTCAAGGGTCCTAAACACATCTACTCTATTTACTCTAGTTTGGTGGGACGGATGATTCCATATAACAAGGAGGAAGATGGGAACTTGACCTTAATATGTCAGGGTGATATTCTAGCAGATTAATCATAATGAGGATTATTGAAAGGTCTATGATTTCCAGGCTTGACCTTTGACTGGGGACTCAAGGTCTTATGCACTTGTGAGTAAAATGGCCAGACATTGGAAAAGCAACTTCTCTGAAGTTTCTTGCCCTGAGATCCCAATGCACTGTAATTTTAAAACCTGTATGAACAGTCCTAATGGAAGCTAGATTAGCAGTATAGGGGGATACAGTGATCAATGACAAGATGGTGAAAGTTTGGATGAAGACTGGAATGTTTGCACACTTTGTGTAAAGCAGCTGTGTACCTTGTACTCTAATGTATTGTTGTGATGGATATTATTTCAGACTAGTGAACTAAAGCAGAAGGTATGTGTTTTCTCTTTGGACATTATTACTTGGGCATGCTAAATAGAAACCTATAGAATTTCCCAAGCCCACACAGGTTTTTCATTTGAAATAAATTCAGATACCTTGTGGATAAAAAGATATTACAACTGTAATAACTGACATTTTAGAAGTTAGAGTTCAAGATCCAACATTGTACTCACTGTGCAATGGCTCAGGGTGAGCCATGAAAAGTGTGGATGGTTCATGAAGACTAACAGAAGATTAAAAACAAGGCTTGAAGAGAGTACCACCATATCTAGTGTCAGCAGTTTCTGATAGGGTTTTTAACAGGAAAACAACAACAATGAAACAACCTCAAGAGATCTATATTTAGAGAATGATCTTGCAAATACTTTATCTCAATCTTGGAAAAGAAGGCAGTGTGCCTCTGCATGTGAACTATCATGTTTACATTTACTGTATTGCCCCCAACATTATTTGGATTCACTGTTTTTTATAATGATGTTGTCTCCGGGGAGATAATATCCTACATCGATGACATAATGATAATATCAGAAGCTAAAAAAGAAGCTAGGGCTAACTTAAATCCAATGGTGACACACAAGATGAACAAATCCTTGTTGATAAATCTAACAAAAGATTCTAATGGGAAATTCTTATGAATAACTTGGGCAGAAGCTACCTGTGACTTTATGGAGGCAGCTAAAATAAACTGCTGTCATTGCTCATTTACCCCTGCAACTGAAACACAGTGCCTTGTTGACGTGTTTGGATTTCGGAGTATTCATATCCCACATTTGGCAATATTGGTAGGTGCTATCTACAGATACTTGAGACAAAGCCATTTTTTTTTTTCTATTTCAGAAAACTTTTTCAGGTTGTTTTATTTACAATGCCAACTTTTAAAAGGTCACTAAAGTTAAATGAACAATAAACTAGGAAGAAATCACTTTACAAAAAGAGGGAAAGCCCAAAATGCCACTTTCTATAGAGAACCCACAATTCAGTTTTATTCAGAGCAAAGAAAAAAGAAACTTTTGATCATATTGGAAGAAACTCAGCCATAGGTTTGGAACCTGTACCCAAACTACACATGCAATGAGGACAATATTCTGCTAATACAATTGATTTGCTGCTGCATTTGTCTACTGTTTGTCTAATATTAAAAATTATAAACAGAGCAGTGCAACTAGTATTTGGAACAATCCTTACAGTGTTACAGTGTCAGGCACAACTTTTCACTTCTCTTCACACCACTGTTCTCTTTGCGAACCTGGGCTTCCTCTTCTTCAGTAAAGTCATTTTTGATATTGAATGTCTTGCGAATCTCTTCAGGAGTTTTCCCCTTGATCATATTGGCAACAGTCTTGCATGTAACATCAAGCAAACCTTTGATGTCTAAATAGTTTGCAGCCAGAATAAGTTCAAAAAGTGTTCCTTGGTCAACTTTGAGGAATTCTTGGTCCCATACAGGGATATCATCTGTTCGCTTTTCTTTGTTCTCATCATCCTCAGGAGGAGGAGGGTCATCCTTGTGGTGGGTACACCACTGAATGACCTTTTTTAATATTACTGCATTAACATTTGGTAGAGGAACTGGGTCATCATCGCCTTCATCGTCCATTCCCAAATCTTCTAACATGGTCTTGATAGTTACAGATTGTTTGGCAATTTCAAAATCAACTTCAAATATCTCTCCATCAGAACTCTGCAACTTAATTGAAGGCATGGTGCTCAGTCTCAAGGAGAGAGCGGGCCGGAGACTGACGAGAGCTGGTAATACCAGCGGACTCAAGGGAAAAGTGGAGAACAAGGCCACTTGCCGAGACAAAGCCATTTTTGAATGGGGTCCTGCACAACAACAGGCTACATCTGACTTACAAAAAGTAGTGGCTCATTTTATGCCTTCTAGCCCTCATGACCCCTCTCCAATTTGATTGAAAATATCTACAACTTACGCTTATACAGATGGAAACTTATGGCAAAAGTTTGTCACTGGTTCCCAACAGAAAATACTGGGATTTTGGACCAGAAAATTTCCAAACACAATGCTACTAAAGGGATGCAGGGAGGTATTCATTGTATTCATGAGCAGGTAATCTCTTTTTCTCTAGGATCAACTCTGGAGCCCCCTAAGTAAACTGCAAGATCTTATTGCAACAGGGGTGGTACCCTATCAACAGCTCTCACACTGAGGCAGGTTTATAAGAAACCAGGAAAATTTCCTGGCAACTGGAATGAGGAAACTGAGACACAGGGCTGAAAAAAACTCCTAGAATGGCTGAGCAATTAACAGGCAGCTGGTAAATCACAACCTCTATCCCTTCTAACCAAAGCTACCTAAGACCAGGTGGTCAAAATCTATTCTCCATAACTAAAGATATGTTAGAGCAGTGGTTTAAATCACTTTAGTCGGGAGATAGACAGCAACAACAACAACAAAAAACTAACCAGAGCCAGACTAATCCGAGATAAAGGTAAAACTAACTTGAAAATGACACCAGACCCCATTATACATTCATTTTCCGAGATAAAGGTAAAACTAACTTGAAAATGACACCAGACCCCATTATACATTCATTTTCATACATCAACATACTAAATGACCCACTCGCAAATGTCATAAATATTCTTTTGAGATCCTACCCTGGGACCTCCCCTAAAATTCCCACCTATAGAAAGTAGATAAAATCCCTCAGGACAAAAAACACCAGTGTGCACCCTTTTTTGAGAATGCTGGAGCCTCCTTCTTCAGGCATGTACATCTGCTTTCTCTATCCCAAGTTCTAAGAGTCCAAAGGAGACTTGCACCCAGGGGAACAGTGGGTAGTAGCAGCTCGTCCTGGGCTTACCCCCTGACCTTGTCTCCAAGGGCTATTCTTTTGCTTCATTGTCTCAAGCTTTAATAAACTTACTACACTGTCACCTGGACTAGTGCCTTGACATTTTTTTTCTGCATGAGTCAAGAACTGGAGTTTGCCTGATACGTGAAAGGTCCCAGACAGTGCCAGGGCGAGGCCACCCAGGCAAGGAAGCAGTCTGGTAACCCACTGACAACACAAAGTACTCAACTGACCGAGAGAACACTATAGGTTTATAGATAGGAATTCCAAGGTAGACGGACAGCATACTATGTTGAAGATTCCTCCTACATTACTACCAACTAATGGAAAACTCTTATTGAAGAAAAGAATAAAATCAATTCAGTGAACTGGATTGTAGTGATGGAATAATTGATTACATATAAGAACCCTGATGTTTCGGTAAATACTGACTCATGGGTGGTGGCCAGTGGCCTATTCATTTAGTCAAGCATATAGGCCATACAAAAATGGATTATTAGAGGGTTGTCTCTATGGGTCACAGACATAGTAAAATCCCAAGGGCATTTAAGGGCACATTAAAGTAGGGGATGTCAAGCTCATCAGAATTTATTTACAGATTGAAGGTGACTGGAACCAGCCAGTGGACATCCTGGTGCACTTGCTTGAAGTGGCCACTAGGTTTATGAAGTGAGAAGGTGTGTGGAAGCTACAGCAATGCGGGGATGTGCTTTATACAGCACTCAGTGGAACCCACTCTTAGTACAAAACTGTAAGCTAAAGAATGGTGAGCAGTTTGTCCTCAGCTGACTTGAAACCCAGAAGAAATGGAATCATAGTCAATTGTCATGACATCTATTAATAATAATACCTGATATATGGAGAAAAGCCAGTTTTGCTGGGAAGACCTAACAATTACTTTTGGGATTTTTACTTATATGTTCTGCTTTGAATCTGAAATTTAGCATGAGCATATGGCAATATATTGTAGCACTGGTGCTGTTGCTAAAACTCAAGTACTTCATGCAAATTATTCATAAGTTAATTCTGATATGAATGATCAGATATATTAGGAGGGCAAGTTAAAGCTTCCTTAGGATGTAATACTGATGGAGAATGACTAGTCTGAGGCAAAACTGGATTTAGCTAACCATCAACTGATTTTACTGCTTTGTAGTTCTGCACAGGTACAAATAACTATAGATCATGAAATCAAATTAGTACAAACACAGAAAAATGTATATAATGGCTTTATAGAAAGAATTACTTGTTTCTTTAAATCTGTCCCTAGCCTGCAATGGCTCCCCCAAATGCTAGCCATATGCTTGCTGATACTTTTGCAGTACCTGTAATATAAATGATCACTAAATATTGGTACCTAGAAAAATTTGATAATTTTGCTGAAAGAGAATGTAGGCCATGAGATGGGTGAGGGCAGTGGACTGTGAAGTAAAGGGTTAATTCAGCAGGACTGGGCTGCTCAGAATTTGCACATTTTCCCAGAAGGCCTGTCTTCATCACTGGTCCTTGACTGTCTCCTGAAAGTTAAGCTCTGAGTTTCAGAATAGTCTGCTTAACAAGTGTGTATTTGTGTGCCTGAGGTCTTGAGCCACATGTACCAGTTTGACTAAATAGTTTATGTTTATGTGATTTATGGTGAATGCCTATTCATGTTCTGAGGCCCGGAGGCGGAGTAGCCGAGGTCAGACCCATGGGTGCTCCATTCCTTCGTGAGTGACCTCCCGTCAAAACCATTAACACCAAGACTCAGATGAGCTTTCCTGGTTGGCAATACATTATATATACTATCCTGCATTGTTACTGAGAAAATAAAGTGCATCTGGGAGACTCCATTGGGTACGACACTTAGTAACTGATGCCCACTTTCTCCTCAATGTCATCCATGTTCTTTTCCCTGTGCTGATGTTAATGCATATTCTTCTGCTGTAATAAATGGTAAACACGAGTATAACAGCTTTTCTAAAACCTATGAGTCATTCTAGTGAATCGTGAAGCCTGAGGATAGGCTTGGACACCCTTAACATAGAAACGGAAAGAATAGATCAAATTTCTTTTTTTTTTTATCCTCACCCGAGGACATTTTTCTATTTTTTGTTCAGATAGAGTTGGAGGGGGAGAGAGAGAGAGAGAGAGAGATCGAGAGATCGACGTGAAAGGGATACATCAAGTGGCTGCCACCTGCATGACCAACCAGGGCCGGGGACAAACTGCAACCAAGGTATGTGCCCCTAGCGGGAACCAAACCCAGGTCTCTTGGGACTGCAGGCTGATGCTCTAACAGCTGAACCAAACTGGCCAGGGCTAGATCAAATTCTATATAAGCTAGATACAGAATTGATTTGCCAATAAGATGTAAGAAAAACTCAGGAATAAGTGTTACATATGGCTCATTTATGTATTTATTTATTTTTGGTGCGTGCCCCTCATGGGAACCGAACCCGGGACTCTCTGATCCACAGGCCCACTCTCGAACCGCTGAGCCAAACCAGCCAGGGCAGATTTACTGTAGTATCCCAAACATATGAAAAATAGAAGTATTTGGGTAAAATGTCTTATGGATATTAACTCAAACATTTTGATTGCTGTGATGCAATATATAGCACTTATATATTTTTTGTGTTCCTCTCTAAATTTCTAATACCTGTCCTTAGACATCTGATATCTGATATTTGCTCTCCAGCTCCTGTACTGGCTCTGACTTTCCAAAAAATATACTAATCCATTCTCTTTCAGGACCTGTAGGTTATATCACCCGTAGACACCAGAAGCCACAGGGTTCTTTATAGGAAGGGAGAAATTTTACATATTTTTCCTATCACATTATGTTCTTCTTTCTCCTTCAATTTTCCCCCACCCTTAAGAGGGCTTTTCTGAAAAGAATGTTTTAGATTCCTTCTTATTGACTTTCTCTGTCTCTCTCAGTCAGATATATGCATTTGCCTTTACATAGTAATTTTCATGCCATATTATATTCTGTATTAGTGACATACTTAACTAAATAATCTGGCACCTTGTTTTATATCTTTCTAGATGCATTACAAATGTATGTGTATGTGTCACTTGTGAGATGTATGTTATTTTCAGGAGTGAAAATAACTTTGTAAGTAATTACTTTTATATACAAAATAGGCAAAGACAGCAGCAGGTCCTGTTGTTTGTTTACAAAGAGCTTACTTTCCACCCTTTCTCCTTTCTGGAAATGACTACCTTCCTCTGCAGATATGAGAATGCCAGGTACCTGCTTTCCCAGCTATTGTTGCAGGTAAGATAACTGATATGTCATTGAATCCCGACCTATGTGAACAAAGAGAATATGTTAGTACATTTATTGTGCTTCTAGGAAAAATATGTAATCTCTCAAAAGAGAAATTAATGCAAAAATAGAATCCCTCTCCTCCTGTTTCTGTACATAGATGTTTTGACTCATTGGAAATGTTGCTTGAATGTGTTGCAGCCATTTTGCAACATATGTGGAATGTCAAAGAGAAGAAAACCTAAAGTCATCATGTCATTGTTTCCTTAATGGATAATGAACTCATCTACTTCTGCTTTTCTGTTGTTTAGGAAAAATAACCACTCAGTGTTTTACAAATACCAACACATTAATAAATTCATAGACAATACTTTTGTGTCTAAGAGATGAAATGAAGAAGCTTTAAGTTTAATGGAATATATTATTAAATTTCATAATCAGTTACTAACTTGAAATAAATATATTAACCACTTCTGAGGTTATATTTATTGTCTACAAACTGAGGACACAGATTAACAAGATACTCGTTGCAATCAATGCTAATATGTTTTAATGCAAGATTTCATCAAAGACAGAAATGAGATGTTGGGGGAAAATGCTTCTTCCTCACCTTTGGTGGAATGACCTATATTATTGGTGAGGTTGGTAGAGAAATCAGGAAAGCATCACCCAACCCTTTTATTC